CCCCTCAGCACTGTTTTCCCCTCTATCCTATAGCAAACGTCCACCTCCCATTTTTCCCACCTCATCCCTCTATCTACATTGCAAAGTCCACTCCCATTCCCCCCTTCCATCCCACCCATCTTTAATGCTACAAAGAGTCCCTACCTCCATAATTCCCTCCTTCTTTTTCCACCTCCTATTCCTCTAAATACAAAGTCACCCCTCCCATATCCTCTCCTCCATCCCTATATAAATTGAAAGAGAAGGTCGCCCTCCACGCCTATTCCTCTTCTCTCCCACTCCCTATAATGCTAAATAATAACAAAGTCCACCATTCTCTCCTACCAATTTATATATTTTTTTTAGTCACTTATCCCAATCGCAAATCACTACCCCCACACTCTTCTCATAAAACAAAGTTCCCTCCCATTCCCTCATCCACAACTTTGTTAATGCAATGTACCCTCCCTTCTACACCTCCTCTCCCCCCCCCTATAATGCAAAGTCCCTCCCTTTCCCTCCTTCCTCCCCACCTCCTAATTAATACAAAAGTCCCCTCCCCACTTTCCCTCCTCCTCTCTCTATTAATTCTATCTAGTCCCCCCCCTTCTATACATACATCCTCCCCCTATTTAATGCATACGTCCCTCCCCACCCTTTCCCCCCTTTTTCCCACCGCCCCCCAGCTATAACAACAATGCAAAGTCCCCTCTAAATTAAATCCCCTCCCCCCCTCTCTAATAATGCAAAGTCCCCTACCTCCATTCCCACATCGCTCCCCCCTCTTTAATACCTAACGTACCCCCAACTCCCCATTTTTATCCCTGCGCATTCCACTCCTCCCCCCTCTATAATGCAAAGTCCCCCTCCTCCATCCATTCCCTCACTCCTCACCCATATCATAATGCGCCAACAGTTCACTCCCATTCCCTCCTCTCACCTCCTCCTAATGCAAAAGTACCCTTCCATTTCACTCCTCCCCCTCTATAATACAAAGTCCCGCCCATTCTCTTTTTTTATTCTTTCTTATTCCCTCTCCCTTTTTTCCCTTCCCTCCTCCCACCCTCCCGATAATAACAAAGAAGTCCCCTTCACCATTCTCCCTCCTTCCCCCATTTTTCAATTCTCCCACTCAATTCTCCCTCCTCCTTTCCCTTACTTCCTCCCCCACTCTATAATACAAAAGATCCCCCCCCCTCCCATTATTTCCCTCCTCCCCCCCCCCTCTTATAATTACATATATCAGTCCCCTCTCCCCATTCCCTCCGCTCCCCCTCCCTCTATAATACAAAGTCCTCCCCTCCCATTACCCTCCTCACCCCCTCATTAATTACAAAGTCCCCTCCCCCAATTTCCCTCCTCCTTCCCTCCTCTCCTCCCCTCCCCCCCTATTCAATACAAGTCCCCTCCCCCCCTCCCCCCCCGCCCCCCCGCTCTGATATATACATATCCCCCTCCCATTCCCACCTCCCCCCTCTTTTTACAAAGTCCCCTCCCATTCCTTTCCTCCCCCCTCTATAATACAAAGTCCCCTCCCATTCCCTTCCTCCCCCTCTATAATGCAAGTCCCTCCTCCCCCCTCTATATTGCAAAGTCTCCCCCCCCCCTATAATGCCAAAATCCCCCCCCATTCCCCCCCCCCCCATAATGCAAATTCCCCCCCCTTTTTTTTTTTTTTTCTTTTTTTTTTTTTTCTATTTTTTTTTTTTTTTATTTTTTGCCATTTCTTTCTTTTTTTTTTTCTTCTTCTTATGCAAAGTCCCCCCCCAAATTTCCCCCCTCCCCCCCCTATAATGCAAGTCCCTCCCATTCCCTCCTCCCCCCCTTTACCCTTGGTCTTGTGGAGGTTCAGCTTCATGCCAATGGTGAGCTTGGGGTTTGGGGACTTCCATCCATGCCTTTTAGGATGGCCCCCAAGCCCCAAACAATTTTTGAAAAAAAATGTAAACCCCGAAGTTCAAACTGGCTGAGGGGGAGGGGTTTTGGACGTCGCCCCGGGGGGGAGGGGAAGACCCCAGCCGCCCCCGGGGGGGGGGGGGGAGGCGGATGCCCCCCGGGGGAGAGGGAGGCGGCGTGCCCCCC